AGAACTGTCGCAAAAGGCGTATAGTGTGTCCTACGTGGTGTCAAGCATATTCAAATATCAGAGAAAAAGTGCATGTTCATATCTTTTAGGAATGTGTCATACAACCTTCTACTTGCTCTTTATACAGTTTTCTAATGGTATTTTGCATCATTTTACATTTTACCAAAAGTATCCGACAAAGATCATATTATGTAAAAATATATTTAAATATTTTGTGTAATGCCAGTGGAATTCTATGTTTCCAGCTGACAATAAAGACATGTAATATAATAGCGGGCATACTAACTGGAAATAGATTAATATTTGACAGTTTGATAACAATATTTGAAAAAAATATATATATATATAGACTTGTGCTCAAATGTTGAGTTGATAACAGAAATCACCCAAATGGCCCTGATCAAAAGTTTACATACCCCGAAATGTTTGGCTTTTGTACAGACATACAAGGTGACACGCAGTTTAAAATGACAATTAAAGGGTCATTTCCCACATCTGTGGCTTTTTAAATTGTAGTTAGTGTCTGTGTATAAGTCAATGAGTTTGTTAGCTCTCACATGGATGCACTGAGCAAGCTAGATACAAAGTAATGGGGAGCAGAAAAGAACTGTCGAAAGATCTGTGTAACAAGGCAATGGAACTTTATAAAAGTGGAAAAGGATATAAAAAGATATCCAAAGCCTTGAATATGTCAGTCAACGCTGTTCAAACACTTGTTAGGAAATGGAAAATTCAAAGATCTCTTGATACCAAGCCAAGGTCAGGTATGTTTCTCAGTAGAGGTTTGTCTGGCTCAGGGTACTGTTTTTGTGTATGTATATTACAAATCGGATAAAGGGTGCATTATATTCCACACAGAGCTGCAGAAGATTTCTCACTGACAGTCCTACATATTTTAAAAATTTATTTTTCTTTTTATTGAACAGTTAAGTGAGCCCATGCTTGTTAGGGTATGCTTATGTCCTAAAAAAATATTTTCTTAGGACATAAGCATCCAACACATGTACAGTATACTCTTAAATGTAATTCGTTATTTAAACACTGCTCAAAAAAATTAAAAGAACACTTTGAAAACACCTCAGATCTCAATGGGGAAAAATATCATGCTGGATATCTATAATGATATGGACTGGGTAATGTGTTAGGAACATAAGGATTCCTCATTGTTTGATGGAAATGAAAATTATCAACCTACAGAGGACTGAATTCAAAGACACCCCAAAAATTAAAGTGAAATAATGACGCAGCAGGCTAGTCTATTTTAATGAAATTTCATGTCAGCAACTCAGAATGGTACACAGTAGTTTGTATGGCCCCCACATGCTTGTATGTAGGCCTGACAATGATGGGGCATGCTCCTAATGAGACAACGGATGGTGTCCTGGGGTATTTCCTCCCAGTTCTGGACCAGGGCATCACTGAACTCCTGGATAGTCTGAGGTGCAACCTGGCAGCATCGGATGGACTGAAACATGATATCCCAGAGGTGTTCTATTGGATTTTGGTCAGGCGAGTGTGGGGGCCATTCAATGGTGTAATTTCCTTCATCTTCCAGGAACTGCCTGCATACTCTCATCACATTAGGCTGGGCATTATCATGCACCAGGAGGAACCCAGGACTCACTGCACCAGTGTAGGGTCTGACAATGGGTCCAAGGATTTCATAGTTACATATAGTTACATAGTTAGTCTGGCTGAAAAAAGACAAAAGTTCATCCAGTTCAATCAAAAAAAACCTTTGCTCCCGCAGGGGAAAAGTTCCTTCTTGATCCCCTGAGAGACAATCGGATATTCCCTGGATCAACTTTACCTATAAATGATAGTATCCAGTTATATTGTGTGTATCTAAGAAAGAATCCAGGCCTTTTTTAAAGCAATCTATTGAGCAGGCCAGAACCAACTCTTGCGGGAGTCTATTCAACATTTTCACAGCTCTTACTGTGAAGAAACCTTTCCGTATTTGGAGATTAAATCTCCAGATGTAAAGAGTGCCCCTTGCCCCCTGTGATGACCTAAGGGTGAATAGCTCTACACTGAGTTTGTTATATGAACCGCTGATGTATTTATACATGTTGATCATATCCCCCCTTAATCTTCTCTTTCAAGAGAGAATAAATTCAGTTCCTCTAATATTTCCTCATAGCTGAGCTCCTCCAAGCCTCTTATCAGTTTGGTTGCCCTTCTCTGCACTTTCTCCAGTTCCCCAATGTTCTTTTTGTGAATTGGTGCCCAAAACTGAACTGCATATTCCAGATGAGGTCTTACTAATGATTTGTACAGGGGTAATATGATATCTCTCTCTCTGGAGTCTATACCTCTTTTAATACAAGAGAGGATTTTGCTCACTTTAGAAACTGCAGCTTGGCATTGCATGCCATTATTAAGCTTATGATCTACCAAAACTCCCAGATCCTTCTCTACCACTGATTCCCCCAGCTGTACTCCCCCTAGTATCTATGATGCATGCATATTCTTAGCCCACAAGTGCATAAACGTACATTAAATCTCATTTGCCACAGAGTTGCCCAATTAAACTGTGCATTGAGATCGGCTTGTAAGTTGGAGACATCCTATAAGGACGTTATTCCACTGAAAAGCTTGGTGTCATCTGCAAAGACTGAAATTTTAATCCCAGACCCTATATTGTTCATAAGTATATTAACAAGTAAGAGTTCAAACACTGGGGTACACCACTAACAACCCTAGACCATTCAGAGTATGAATCATTTCATCCTGATACCTAATGGCAGTCAGGGTGCCATTGTCTAGCCAGTAGAGGTCTGGGCATCCCTCTATGGATACGGCTCCCCAGACCATCAATGACCCACCACCAAAACGGTCATGCTGAATGATGTTGCAGGCAACATAATGTTCTCCACTGCTTCTTAAGACCCTTTCACATCTGTCACATGTGTTCAGGGTGAACCTGCTCTCATCTGTGAAAAGCACAGGGCGCCAGCAGCAGACCTGCCAATTCTGGTGTTGAATGGCAAATGTCAATCAAGCTCTATGGTGCAGGGCAGTGAGCACAGAGCCCACTAGAGGACGTAGGGCCCTCAGGCCACCCTCATGAAGTCTGTTTCTGTTTGTTTGGTCAGAGACATTCACACCAGTTGCCTGCCGGAGGTAATTTTGTAGGGCTCTGGTAGTGCTCATCCTGTTCCTCCTTGCACAAAGGAACAGATACAAGTCTTGCTGATGGGTTAGGGACCTTCTACTGCCCTGTCCAGCTTTTCAGAGTAACTGCCTGTCTCCTGGAATCTCCTCCATGCTCTTGTGATGGGAGACACAGCAAATGGAATGTATTGATGTGCCATCCTGGAGGAGTTGGACTGCCTGTGCAACCTCTGAAGGGTTCAGGTATCCCCTCATGCTACCAGTAGTGACAATTACCCTAGCCAAATGCAAAACTAGTGAAAAACAGTCAGAATAGATGAGTAGGGAAAAAAACGTCAGTGGCCTCCACCTGTAAAACCATTCCTACTTTGGGGGTCATCTGATTGTTGCCCATCTAGTGCACCTGTTGTTAATTTAATTAACACCAAGGCAGCTGAAGCTGATTAACAACCCCCTCTGCTACTTAACTGACCAGATCAATAACCCAAGAGTTTAATTGACTTGGTGCTATACTCTGATTAAAAAGCATTCATTAAATTTTTTGAGCAGTGTATATGTATGTATATATATATATATATATATATGGATTGACTAAATGTAAAATGTGCTGTATACAGTTGCAAGAAAAAGTATGTGAACCCCTTGGGATTACGTGGAGTTTTGCATGAATTGGATAAAATGTGCTCTGAACGTCATCTAAGTCACAACAATCGAAGAACACAGTCTGCTGAACATAATACTACACAAACATTAGATGTTGCCATGGTTTAATTGCACATAACATGTAAACATTCACATTGCAGGGAGGAAAAAGTATGTGAGGCCCTAGCTTAATGACTTCTCCCAGAGCTAATTGGAGCCAGGAGTGAGCCAACCTTGACTCCAATCAGTGTGATGATATTGGATGTGTTTGCTGACAGCTGTCCTGCCCTTAAAAAACATACACCTGTTTTGGGTTTACTGGTTTCAAGAAGCACTGTCTAATGTGAACCATGCCTCGCAGAAAAGAGCTCTCAGAAGACGCATCAAAAGAGCTCTGGAAAGGGTTACAGTAAGCCTTGACCTGTCCACAGTATCAAGAATTTAGTGTTGACTCTCCCTAGGCGTTGCATGCACAGCTGCTGGAAAGGGAATCCCAGAGTGCCACAAAAGTAAATCTCCAAAAGCCTCTACAATAAGGATGTTCATGGGAGGACACCACGGAGGAAGCCCAAAAAGAATATTGCAGTTTGAAGACAGACTACTGTCTACAAAAACCAAGATGGAGAACACTGTTTAGCACTGTTGCTCACTCTCTGCCTAGGCGTGGTCATTGATGGGAAAATGAATTCGTTTATCAAGACATTTTGCAGGAAAACATTCAACCATCTGTCCGCCAACTGAAGCTCAGCAGAGGATGGGTGGATGCAACAGGACAATCTATTGGTTGTCATTGATGGGAAAAGTGAAATTCCAAGATTAATCAAGACATTTTTGTGCAGGAAAACATACAAACCATCAGTCCCGCCAACTGTAAAAATGACTGCAAGAGCACAGCGCAGAATGCTGCATGTGATTGTAAAGAATGTGCAATCCAACATCTAGTGCCAGCTAAAGACCTACACATTTTATGAAAATCTCTGGGGTTCACTTTGCTAACTGTATGTTTTAAAGTAGAACTGTAAAACACTTCTTAGATTGGGAGTAGAGAAGGATTAGAGACGTGAAGATTTTACTGCCCTTTGTGTTCCTGCTGAGATTTCCCATCACTTCCTTTCCTGGTCACCACCCAGAGGCATAAATAAAAAGGGCCAGATATGTTATGGTTGTGTTTTTGTTGAAGAATTAGTTTAAACCTTAGACAAGTATAAGAAACACTGAATACATCTCTGTATTTAATGTTATATATACATATATATATATATTGTGACAGTGTGGTGATCTGTCTCGATATAAAAAGGCTATTTCACCTGGGATTCTTAACAAGCAGGTTGAAGGGCTCCAGGGTACTTGTTTTATACAGAGGAAAGTGGCTTTTCACTTTCCTCATGTCTTTGTAAAGTCCATTTTGGGACCCCGAGCCTGGACATTTCAAAGTGATTTGGGAGGGATGAAATCTCCAATCCTGGGACCAGGCATTGGGAATGGCCAGGAGACTGATTGGTCAGGTGTGCATGGCTCTCTTCTAGAGTCAGGACCAGGGTTCTGGGCTCCACTCCAGCAGACAGGAGGTCATTGCCCAGGAGTCAGGAGGGCTCCACCTAGGAGAGGTGGGAGCCAGAGCAGCAAGGGGCTGTTAGCTGTGTGCAGAAAAAGCCATTTAGGAAGGAGTCTGCGGGAGACGGCTGTGAGCCTGATGTGGAAGGCCAGAGCGGCATAACCATGTGTTTTGAAGCGTGAAATGCTGAAAACTCCTGTGTGCCATTAATGTCTAAATCACTGGCAAAAAAATTGAGTACACCCCTAAGTGAAAATGTCCAAATTGGGCCAAAAGTGTCAACATTTTGTGTGGCCACCATTATTTTCCAGTACTGCCTTAACCCTCTTGGGCATGGAGTTCACCAGAGCTTCACAGGTTGCCACTGGAGTCCTCTTCCACTCCTCCATGACGACATCATGGAGCTGGTGGATGTTATAGACCTTGCGCTCCTCCACCTTCCATTTGAGGATGCCCCACAGATGCTCAATAGGGTTTAGGTCTGGAGACATGCTTGGCCAGTCCATCACCTTTACCCTCAGCTTCTTTAGCAAAGGCAGTGGTCGTCTTTTAGGTGTGTTTGGGGTCGTTATCATGTTGGAATACTGCCATGCGGCCCAGTCTCTGAAGGGAGGGGATCATGCTCTGCTTCACAATGTCACAGTACATGTTGGCATTCATGGTTCCCTTAGTGAACTGTAGTTCACCAGTCTTGGTAGCACTTATGCAGCCCCAGACCATAACACTCCCACCACCATGCTTGACTGTAGGCAAGACAACTTGTCTTTGTACTCCTTACCTGGTTGCCACCACACATGCTTGACACGATCTGAACCAAATAAATTTATCTTGGTCTCATCAGACCACAGGACATGGTTCCAGTAATCCATGTCTTTAGTCTGCTTCTCTTCAGCAAACTGTTTGCGGGCTTTCTTGTGCATCATCTTTCGAAGAGGCTTCCTTCTGGGATGACAGCCATGCAGACCAATTTGATACAGTGTGCAGTGTATGGTCTGAGCAAAGACATGCTGACCCCCCCCACCCCTTCAACCTCTGCAGCATTGCTGGCAGCACTCATACGTCTATTTCCCAAAGACAATCTTTGGATATGACGCTGAGCTTCTTTGGTCGACCATGGCGAGGCCTGTTCTGAGTAGAACCTGTCCTGTTAAACCGATGTATGGTCTTGGCCACCATGCTGTAGTTCACTTTCAGGGTCTTGGCAATCTTCTTATAGCCTAGGCCATCTTTATGTAGAGCAACATTTTTTTTTTTCAGATCTTCAGAGAGTTCTTTGCCATGAGGTGCCATGTTGAACTTCCAGTGACCAGTATGAGAGAGTGAGAGCGATAACACCAAATTTAAAACACCTGCTCCCCATTCACACCTGAGACCTTGTAACACTAACAAGTCACATGACACCGGGGAGGGAAAATGGCTAATTGGGCGCAATTTGGACATTTTAACTTAGGGGTGTACTCACCTTTGTTGCCAGCGGTTTAAACATTAATGGCTATGTGTTGAGTTATTTTGAGGGGACAGCAGGTTTACACTGTTATACAAGCTGTACACTCACTACTTTGCATTGTAGCAAAGTGTCATTTCTTCAGTGTTGCTGCATGAAAAGATATAATAAAAATCTTTACAAAAATGTGAGGGGTGTATTCATGTCTGTGAGATACTGTGTGTGTGTATATATATGAATTTCACTTATTATCAGCATCTTGCAGTCCTTGCACAGAGCTTACACAGGAGGTGGGAGAAGCAGTGCAATGAGCTGATCATTTGGGCAGAAGTTCAAGGAGCACACTGATAGGAAAGGAAAGCAGAGTGACTGAGATATGAGCTCATCGGTCAGCTGCTTTTCTTTTTACTGTGCATTCACGGGTTGGGGTGGGAGGAGACCTGCAAATAATACTGAACTGTAGCAGAAAAAAATCAGGTCTCCCCACCTACCAGACAGGACTGTGCTTTGTGGCAAACTTGTGTAAATCTCAGAAGTGCATGGACAGAAATACAAATCCTTTGATAGACAAAACAACTTCATTTTATGTAGTTTATCTAGATATTTAGCTATTTTCCTGGAGTTCAGCTCATTCAGTAAATAAAGACATATTTTAATATAATAAATAAAGCATACAAGCTCTAACTGTTAATTTCCCTTCAAGCACACAGTATTGTAATCTTACCATATGGTGTTAAACTCCCCTTTCCCATTTTGGGGTCCATAAAAAATCAGGGCAGGGTTGATATTGTAAGTACAGCTGGAAGGTGTATGATAGCATGCTACTAAAGAACATAACAAAAAAAAAGTATATTTCACCCTCATTATAGAGGCTCATAAATTGCCATGATACATGATATTCCACTGTTAAATAAATTAAATATACTTGGTTAGAACAAATTTGTCTTCTAATAATTTAATGTTTCATAGAGAAACAAATCTGAAACCTTGTCAGAGGAATTCCAGATACATGAGAGAGATTTTAAATGCACAGGCTTCTGCCGTGATAGGCAATTAATTTTCTGCCAGCTTCTAGGTCATTATTAATCTGGAAGGGCACAATGTTAATAAGAAATGCTCCTGTATAAAGGCAGAACATAGAAGCCATATTTAGACACAGTCTAATCATATAGTATGCTTATGCACAGTGTGTGACTGCAGATTGAGATGTTGGATTGCTGCAGTTTATACACATCAGCTACTATGGAGAAGACAGGAGGAAGCAGCATTTCCAAGCAGCATCCCTGCAGTTAAAAGTATGGTCAAAATTATAGCATGACTCTTCAAGCCCCCCATTTGTGAAAAATTAAAGTATTAAAAACTTATACCTGGAGTGTACTTAATGCTTTCTCTTAAAGGGTCAGGCATCCAAAAAAATGATTAAATTAAAAGGGTTTTTCATTTTAATGTACTCTCTGCATAAAAGTAAACGTTTCTGTGTTAACCCCCACCCCCAGCTCCCCTAAATCTTGATCCAGCACTGTACCCAGGAGCAGCAGCTCTCCTGCCTCTCTCTTCTCACTGGACATGGATGAAGCAGAGGGAGCCATTGGCTCCTGCAGCTGTCAATGAAAATGTGAGGAGAGAATGGGGGGAGACAGTCCCAAGTCACGCTGCGTGTCAATGGTTTGCTATGGGGGCACTCAATGGGGGGGGGGAGCCAGGAGCTCTGGCAGGGGACCCAGAAGCAAAGGATCAAGGCTGCTCTATACAAAACCTTTGCACAGACCAGGTAAGTATACCATGTTTGTTATTTTAAAAAAATACCTTTATAGTCACTTTAAGGGTGGATGCTGATAGATCAATATAACTACCAGTGTTATTCTGACTTTCAGAGATTCCTGCAGCTAAAGTTCCCTGCTCTAGTTTCACGATTTATATAAACATGTAGGCTTATACAAGCATCCTGCTGCATCAGGGGATATCATTATAATTTTAAATTAATTAAAATTCCAACAGAGGGAAAGAATTCCTTTTGTAACCTGTAAAGGCAGTTATCTAGAGCTACGAACTTAGTTTCAGAAATCTCGCTGCTGGAGATCAGAAGACATTTAAGAAGCTGGCAAGTTTATTTTATTTAGGATTATCTGACTGCCTGTTAAGGAAAGTAGACAACTTGCGTAGATGGCAAATTTAAACAAAGTATGGGACTTTTTCTAACAATACTGTAGGACTGAAGTACAAATATGTATATACAAAATATAATGTTTGTTTTTATACAAAAAGTTACAATTCACATACATCATAATGTAAGGGGGCAGGTGGGTGACTCTCCCTCCATGTTCCCCTCCTCTTTGAGCGCCAAGTGTGGATCACATAGGAGGCCTACCTCCGGATGGGTTTTTCTCAGCTATGCTAGGCACCTGAGATGGGTCATTGCCTTGCACATGGGGTACCTTTACTTGAATGGACAACTGAAATCTAATAAACTCTCTTGATGTTAATATACACCACTAATTCACTTGTTGCATGTAGGAGGGACACACAGAGCCAATGCCCTCTCCACCTGTCCAGTGCATCTCTGCTACCTCACTCCCCGTAATGGAATGGGGTCCACTTATCTCTTCTTCTATACCTGTGAACAGGCTGAGGATCTCTGTAGTGTTGACTAATCCCATTGCTATGAGAGATGGGCCAGCTCACGAAGAGAGTGCCTACAATAACTTCTCCTGCTGGAGGCTATCCCACTTGCCACATGGATACGCTTAGGACAGTGTGCTAGAGAAACATTTGTTACACTTGATAACTACTTTTGACTTTTTGTCTTTGCACTGTAATAACTCTTGTACTCCTGTCTTCATACCCCAGTGTGGTTCAACTGACCCAACTGTAGACTATGTATGCCGGTTACTTGCATTACACCCCTTTATTAACTTCAGACCAGGAAAAGGAAAAGTTTCAAAAGCTTTACCTAAACAATGTGGCATGACAGTAGAACAAAAGCAACAGTCTTTCTCTAAACTAACCCCTAACTCCAGCTTGTGGCTGCCCCAGCATACCATGCTTGGTTGAATCTACAGTGGCAGATCTCCAGAATTGGTGACTTCAGGGCAGACTGCAGGTCAACAAAGTGTAGCATGTTTTACATATTCTCGCACCTCACTACACCACACCTCCAGGAAGCATTGTAGTGATTAACAGGGCACATAGAAAACAGTTGTTTTCTATGTACCTTAGTGGTGACTAGCATTCTTCCTGTGCAGAAAAATGCTCTAGGGTGAAATGGCCCTAAGTCTAATATAACATGGTCAACATGAAAGCACTGTAGGAGATATTTGTAACCACCCCAATATGAATATATACATACTGTACATGTACAGTATATACACACATATTTATTTATGTTTTTATTTAAACTATAGATATCTCCATAGTAACAGTTTGTGGAGAGAAATTTGCTTGTCCTCAAGCTGCATGAGCCCAGGACCCACTGCATTACTTTTTAGTACAGTGCTCCTGGGCCTAAAGATTCATTCTT